TCAAATACAAAATTGTTTATGGTAGCATCCTATATAATAAAAGGGTAATATGCAAATTGACCCTAACAGCAGAACGACTGGGTATGACTGGTCACTATGACACACACTGACCACCAGGGGGCAGATGCTCAATGCAGTAGCTATCCCCTGGTGGTCAGTGCACTCCCACAGGGGAGCTCTGCTCAGCCACAAGCCAGGCTGATGGCTGCCAGCACAGCAGTGGTGGTGGGAGCCTCTCCTGCTTCCTCAGCAGCACTAAGGATGTCCAACTGAAGCTTAGGTCTACTCACTGCTGGTAAGTGGACATCCCCCGAGGGCTACCAGGCTTCCAGAGAGATGTCTGACTGCCAGCTTGGGCCCATTCCCCCAGGGAGTGAGCCTAAGCCAGCAGGTGGACATCCTCCGAGGGGTCCCAGACTACAAGAGGGCATAAGCCTGGCTGAGGGACCCCCTTCAGGTGCACAAATTTTTGTGTATCGGGCCTCTAGTTATTTATAAAAGAAAATGACTCCAGACCACTGAAATCTTGAGGGTAGTGAATTAAATTATATTACTTCTTTAGAATGGATTGCTTTGTAGCCCTTAAAATTAAATAGACCTATATGTTTTGATATGGAAAAAAAGCAAATATATAATATTAAGTAAGATAAGGACGTGCAACAGTGGTATAAAATGCTTCTATTTCTGTTCTGAAAGATATAGATAGGTGTACAATTTATATATCTAGGTATATGCTTTCATGTGCATACTTGCATTTTTCCAGAAGGGAACTGTTTACGGGTTTCCTCTGGGCAGGAAGATGGATAGCTTTGGGAGGGAGGAATGGGCATAACTTTCATTCCCTTCCTGTTTGAAATCATTTCCTTATTTTTGCCACGTGGACCCGTTAGGTTTAGGAAGACAGTAGAGCCTGACAGTTAAAAGCCTACACTCTGCTGCCTGAATACCAGTGTTCACATCCTGGCTCTGTCATTTATTAGCTGTGTGACCTTAGGTTCATTTAACTTCTGCATTTCTCTTCGATGAAGTGGGCCAATAATAGGAGGCATTCATTGGATTTTTGTGAGGATTAAATGAGTTAAGTATGAAGTGCTCAGAACAGCCTAAACAATGCCATATATCTATTTTCTTGAAAAAATAAAAGGAGAAATTAAAAAAATGCATCTAACCAAAAGCACCCCCAGTGTCTCAAAGTTGGAAGGACTTTATATATATGTCACTGCTTCCAGCATCATATGCTGTATAGAAAATACGTTAGAGCGCTGGCGTGTGAACTGGAGGTTTGCGGGTTTGATTCCCAGTCAAGGGCACATACATACCTGGGTTGCAGGTTCAATCTCTGGCTCCCGTGAGGGTGCATGCAGGAGGCAACCAATCAACGTGTCTCTATCACATTGATGTCGCTCGCTCTCTCTTCCCCTCCCACGCTTTCGGTAGAGATCAGTGGAAAAATATCCTCTGGTACAGATTAAATAAAAAGGTACATTTCATTTATTTACAGTTTGTTTTATTAAGAAAGGTACTCCTTCCCTCCGCCGCTCTCCCTACCTTCTACTCTCTCTAAACACCAATTGAAAAAATACCCTTGGGTGAGGATTAACAAAAAAATTATGTTTGAAGCAGGATCGAAAAGCAGTAGTTAGTTTTCATTGTCATTTTATCTGGGCTTGAATACCTTTTTAGGGAAGGCGCCTGTTCTGGGATTTGCAATAGACATCTCCGATGCCTGTGGTGACCCTGAACCCATCCGGACTGCAGCTCCTGCTCCGGTCCATCCCAGTGAATGCTCATGCTAAGAGCAGAACATATGTTAGGCCAGGTGGGAAATCTATAAGAAACCGGAACTGTTGCAGCCTAGAGAGGGACGATCCAGAAATTCAAGGTTAGAGAGTACCCATGCCTGTGCCAGTTATGACCCATGTTCACATGCCCCCACACCTCTCCTTTTCTTTTGAGAGGGGGACACAGGCCCAGAAAGGGGCTGTGCCAGGAGGATCCCTAGGGAATCTGCTGGCCACAGGGACTTCTTTATCCAGAGGTGTCGAAAGCAGGGGGTCTCAGTGTTCAAGACTGCGTGGCTTCCTCCTCTTTCCAGCAGGTGCTCTGGGGCAAGCCTGAAGAACTGCCTTTGAAGTTGGCCACACTTGGGGCCAGGCTTGGGCCCCTCACTATATGCACGTGGTAGCTGCGGGGGCGGGGGGGCTCTAGTCCCTTCACATCAGCTGAGTTTGGAAAGTGCTCTCACCATGAGGAATGTAAGGCTGACCTGTTACAGCCTCATGCCTGCGTCAGAGGGTCCTGCCCTTTCTGTTGCACTCGGGCATTCCAGCGCTGGCTAGAGGTTCCCATTGTATCCGTCAGTCACAACCAACTGTGCTTCCCTCTGCCCTCTCCTTCCTCCATCGCTGCTCCAGTCATCTTTCCCACCCCCTCCTCTTCCCTCCCATATCCAGCCATTCCTCCCTTTCTGTAGCTCGTCCATTCGGCTGTCGACTTCTGGTCTGGCTACAGAATTAGCCGCTTGATCAAGGGTCCTGGGTTCGATTCAGGTCAAGGGCACATGCCAGGGTTGTGGCTCTATCTCCAGTAGGAGGTGTGAAGGAGGCAGCCAATCAATGATTCTCATCATTGATGTTCCTATCACTCCTTCTCCCTTCCTCTCTGAAATCAATAATAAAATATATATATAAAGAATTAGCAGCTTGACACGTATTGTTCCCCCACCCCCATAGCCTGCCAAGATGTCCCAGGCCGCCGCTCTGCCCTCCTTCCCTCCCTCGGATCC